TCCGCATACCTCTTTTCCAGGCAGAGTTAGGTATGTGTACTCTGAAATCCTCTAACGTTTTATGATAAATATTTATACAATTAATTATATCCCATTTTAACTACAAACTTTCTTCAATAATTCACCCATCAGTGACGCTGTGTCTTACTGATTCAATTACTGAACCAATATTTATTGAATGTTGCCAGCCGGTTCCCCACCCCTCCCCCAGTCCCCCAGAGAATGCTTGGTTAGAATATCCTCTCCTGAATTCCAGGGCTCCCCTGGTGGCTCAGACGGTAAAGAGTCTGCCGGCAGTGCGGGAGCCTTGGGTTTGATCCCAGAGTCAGGAAGATCCCCTGGAGAAGGAAATAGCAACCCACTCCAGTATTCTTGCCTGGAGAATCCCATGGGTTGAGGAGCCTGTCAGGCTACATACAGTCCATGGGGTCACAGAATCAGACACGACTTTGCGACTTCACTTTTTTTCCCTCCCTGAATTCAGCTGTATGACTTTCATCCTTCTCCTATACGTTGTAGGGAGTCCTACAAAAAGAGGCAGACAGAAATAACTGCTTTGGACCCAAAGCTAAGAAAGTCGTTTCTTTAAAAGCACTAGGAGAAGAATTAAAATTTTAAAAGGGTATCCCAGGTCTTGCCACATCTGTATGTGTACTTTTAATATGTGACTTTTGCTTTTGTGTGTGTGTGTAAATTCAGTCTGCCCTGCTGAGAGAAAAAGTATGTATTATGGCGGTGTCTCTATATGTTATCCAAATGGGTCCTTTCCTTGGGATGTGACTGAGCCAGTGGCATGGTCTTCTGGAGATTTTTGACGAGCAAGACTAGGCTGCAACTGACAAGCCGGTTTAAACTTAAGTATCCTGTTGCCCTGTGTTCACGAGTAGGGAGGAGAGGGGATTTCTGCACGAATACAAAAATCATTACCTTTCTGAAGGGCGGAGTTGTAAAAGGTCTTCCAGGTCATCTGGGTGCTCTGGGTCCTGCATAAGTAGGAAATGGACCCAATACTTCCCGCAGAGAATTCTCCCCTAGGGGCTGAATCCTCCTCCACACTCCCCTCCCCCAGCCAAGGCGGACCGTCTACTCAGCGTGTGTGCAAGCCCGGTGGCCACTACTTCTACGACCAGCCCTCTCAACCTTCCCTCTCCCAGCCAAGCTCCGGAGATGTCAAAGATTCTTAAGCTGGCGTTTTCCAACTTGCCCCTGAAGCTAGGCGGGCGGGCCCAAGCTGCGATGTAGAGAATTCGATGTCCCAGCGACCTCCTCTGAGGAGTGGATCGAGTTAAATATAACCGCGCGAATGGAATAGCGCTAAAAATAAGGCAACAGCTGGCCGGTCCGCAGCCCGGTCCCGGGAAGGGCGGGGGCCTGAGTGGTCTTGTGCAGGAAGGCCGCTCCGGGCGCCGGGACGAGGAGGCAGCAGCGTCCGCGGGGCCTGGGGCGGAAGGCCAGCGGGATGGGCGCGAGCTGCCAGGTGCACCTCCGCCCGCTGCGGGTCCCAAAGACTGGAGTCAGAGTCGCTCGGTGGCCCGAGGGGGATCTTTTGAAAGACTCAGAACCCTGGGAGAACTTGCCTGGACGTGACAAGGCAGAAGGGCTGAGAGCAGAACTCCTGCTCGCCCCGCCGCCAGAGGGAGCTGAGGGCAAGCCGGGGAAGCCGAACCCTCGAGAAGGCCGCGGCATCGCCGGGCTCTCGAGCGGGGGACATGCGGCAGTGGTCGCGCGTGCACACTCAAGGCTCCGCGGCGACTGGTGCTCGGCCTTAGCGCCCCACAAGCCCCTCCCGGCGCGCGCCCCTCGGCCCTGCGCACCCTCCCGCGTCAGCGCCCCAACTATGACGCCCACAATAGAAACGTTTCCCAAACGGGCTATTTATTTGCTCCCAATAAATCGATCCGCAGTGATTAAGAAATCGATGTGGCCTGGGTGGGCGACGTCGCTCTTGGGGAGGGAAAGGCGCCTCTGCCCTGAGCTCGCGGGGAGACCGAGGGCGGGTGCAGGCCTGGGAGAGGCGTGTCCCGAGGGGGCCACACCCGAGGACCCGCCACCTGGGCGCGCGGGCCCCGCCAGGCCGCGTTCCCTCGGGCAGCGAGGGGCGCGCGCCCGCCGCCCGCGCTCCTCGGCCCCTCTCGCCTTCTCTCTTGCGCGCGGGGGAGGCCGTGGCCGGCAAGCGCCGCCGTACAGCTCCGAGGCTTTTGTTGCTCCACGGCGGGCTGAATGGGGGTTTTGTAAAGCGGGACAGATAAAAATGAGCAGCATCATATTGTTTGACAGAATGATCCCATATGATGAAGTGTCGGCTCCGAAGGGGGTGAAAATGGTGAATTCCTAAAAACCCAGCCTTCGGCTCCTCCGAGAGCTGCCGGTAGCCTGGAGCGACCCGCGGACAGCCGGGCCCCGCCGCATCGCACCAAACCGTGTCGGGAAGACTCGAGCTTTCAATGCCAAGTCATTTTTAAGCCCCGATCCTGCCCAGGACCTTTCTCCTCGCGGATGAAAAGAACAATTTTCGAGAGAAAGGCTCGTTTTGATTAAATCTGACATGCTGCTGATAACTCCATGCTAATGTGAAATAATTAACATAATAGCCATAATTAAAAGCACGCTAACAATGCCATAAATTTATCACACAATTTTACTAGCTTTCTGCCCCTAACTGCTCTCTCATCGTTAATTAAACGTGTTGCCTTTTACAGAATGGATGTTTATACATTTCCAATATAAATAAATTCGAAGCCATCCTCTCTCCCTCTCTCTCTCTCTGTCTCTCTTCCTCTCCCTTTGGTCTCTCGCCATTGGAAGGCACTTCTTCGCATGGGCCCTGAGTGGCGGACACCTTAAAAATAAATGAAGTTTTGAGATGCAAATCCAAACATGAACATTAAATTAATCCCCCCCCCCCCAGCCCCGCCCGCCAAAGAGATCTGGAGAGGTATACAAAGGTGGTGGGAAATAAGTTGAAAATCCCACCCTCTTGGAAACAGAAATAACTTAGGTGGGGTGGGGGCCCAGGGTGTCCTTTCAGCCCTTCCCACCTCCCTCGGTGGCGGTCATCCAGGCAGAAGCTGTTAATAGTTTAACATATCGGTGAAGACTGTCAATAAAAAGCTGACTTTGTTTTTTGGGGGTTGGGGAGAGGGGTATATTCCAGATGGACTCCACCCACATTTAGTTTCCCCTGCATTAGAGGAAGGGTGGCTGCTCTCTGTGGGGGTCCGCCCCTGGCTGCGCGACCTGGTCCTTTCTCCCCGTATAATAAGAAAAGTGCACCCGCGCCTGGGTGTAACGATTCTATCACACCTCCGGCCAACGATTTATTCAACCACGGGCATAGTTTCTGACTTAAAGGGCGAGAGAGAGGGCACCTGCTTTCTCCCGCGCCTGGCGAGGTGGGCCATTCCAGCCTTCCGAACACGCTCACCGTGCCCCTCCTCCTGTGTTGACCACTTAAGAACCCAAATTGAGTTGTAATTAATTTCCCCTTCTTCGTCATAAATTGTTTCATCCTCTTCTTGTCTTCCCCATCCCCATCTCACCCCCCAGGACACACACACTAAATCTCCCCTCCCCCGAGACGTCTCAATTTCCTTCCTATCGATCCGAACTCCACTTTTCTTGTTTCCTGTTGCTAGAACCTCGGTCCCCTCCACCACCACTACCAATCCCCGCCCCCAACGGACCCAGTCCTGGTGGTTTCTGCAGCTGGGTACCACGGATTCTGCCCACCCCAGGAGAAACGGAGGGAGCCTCATTACATTCTCTTTTGGCTGAAACGTTCCAAACATTTGAACAGGTGAGACAGCTGGCTGCCATCTTCTTTAAATCCCTCCTGGGAAGTTCGCTTGTTGTGACCCAAATAATCACTCTCATTCATAGTAATTGTTTGTGCCTCTGTTTTTCATTCTACCTCCCCAGTAACCGAGATTCAGGAGATGTTTTATCCACATTTCTCCCCCACCCCCATATTTCCATTCCCTCGATCACATCTTCCCCCCCACCCCCCACAAGCGTGTCGCTGTCGCTCTGTATCTGTCTCGCTTCTCCCATCTCTGTTTCAAAGTTGGCGGTAACTGACGACCTGTGGACTTTCAGCCGCTAACTGGGATCATGCGGCAAACAGGATTTACTAAGCCCGGAATCTAGTTGGCCTAGGGCAGGACCATGCACCGTGTCCGGCTCGCGCCCTTCCGCCCTGGCGCTGTCCCGCAGTGATGGCAGCGGGAACCTTCCTGCCTCCCACCTGGACTGCCGCTTAACCCTCCTTCCCGCCACGGCAGGTTGCGCGGCGCTACTGTCCGCCCAGAAGAAGGAAAAGGGCGACGGGCTGCCCAGCCTAGAGCTGTTGGGAGAAATCCGCCGCCTCCGCTGGAAATCGATATCAAGCCGTTGGGCCGGCACCGGCGCAGGACGTCGGGGGCTCAGCCAGTAGGTCCCGCACGTCTCATCATTTAGCTAATCGAGTCGAAAAGTTTCTGTAAGGGCCAGACCCGGCATCAGATGGTAACACTGATTGAACAAGAGATTAACACAATAGATCTCTAACCGAGGGGAAGCGTTGCTTTTCACGCTACGTGCCGTAATTAATGGTATGAATCAATTAATTTGACTTTTATTGTGTCGAAAGAAAAAAGCGCAACAAATGGAACTGGCGGCTGGGAGTTGTTCACCCCCACCCCTTTCCCCAGGGAGGTCCCAAAGAGACACGGGGGAATGGACGGATCGGGCCAGGTCTTGGCCGAGGGAGGCTCAGAGGCGGTAAACAGCGGCGCCGAGGGAGTGCTGAGAGCCAGCCCTGGCGGGCCGAGGAATTGAAATTAGGCTCATTTGGAGGATGCTTCAAGAAGACTGCGGAGGGCATCCCCTGGAGCCGCTACCCTTCCGCGCGTACACACACACGTGCAACGCGTCCACGCGGGCCCAGTCTCCTAGGCTGCGGTGGGGCTCCTGCCGGCCCGCGCCTGCCTCTGGGGCTGGACAACCGAAGCTGAGCAAAAGGAATTTGTGGATTCAGTTTCTTTTAAGTGCCCCTCCGACGTTCTTTTTGTAATTATTGGGTTACTAAGACAGTTTCACCCGGGACCTCCGCTGCCGAGGGACAGCGGGCAGCCAGTTCGCCGCTGCAGTCGGTTTTGCGGGAAGCTGTCTAAAAGGTATTGTAAACGGTTCGGAGCCTGCGGGCCACAAAGCGGTGCAGCTGCGGGAATGAACTCAGATGCATTTTAGGGTCAAGTGCAACCGGGGTATCATTTAGATACAGAAAAATCGTGGAGTTTCCTGGGCGTCTCAAGATGGAGGAACTGCCCCGGCTTCAACCAGAAACATCCTGCGAAGTGGGGGATCCAATGTGCTAGTGTTTTATCCGGGAAATTATCTAATGAAAGTTGAAGTCAATCTGTGTGTCGCACTGCCTATAAGTGAAGCAAGTTTACGTATGTGTCCAGGCTAAGGAATGAGAGAGGTGGTAGATGAGAGAGACACAGACAGGGAATCATAAGTACTACTGTCCTCCAGGAAATACATCCAGTTTCTTAGTGTCTTCTGTAAATACTGAATTTCACTATTTCTTCTCAGACTATCTCCCCTTGTGCTCCTTCCTCTGGTAAGGCCTGCACTCCCTTCTCAGGCCTCGGTGGCCAGACTGGGCTTAGGTTCCAGGAGCCCTTAACACCCGGCAGGCACTCGCGGCTCGCAAGGAGGCTGCCTAAAAATGCAGGAGGAAAAAAGCAGCGCATCGCGGCTTCACCAGGTCAGAAGCACTATTCCGAAGTGCTTCCGAAGTCCACGCGCCCCAGCAATGTCACGCATCCGGGGTCGGTTTGCGCCCCCCACCCTCCATCCCAGTTAAATGCCGACAGTTTCCTACCATCACTGACTTTCCTTGCCAAAGAAACTCGGTGTGCACTGGCCATATCCTCGCCTCCTCCTCCACCTCCTCTGTTGCCGGTCTCTGAGGAACTAAAATCTTGGAGGGTTTGTCTATATCCTAAGAGGAAAGAATCCACGTTAGTTAGCCGCAAGGAGAGTCTAGGTCGTCAACAAGCCCGCTCCCAGGAGGCTGGGCCCAGAAGCCTGAGAAGTCACACCGCCCGCTCCCCCTGAGGTCAGCCATCCCAAACAGGGCGCGGCGTCTAACCTAGAGGCCCGAAGCCTCTTTCCGTCCCCACTCGACTTACCCAGGCCGCTGCCAATGCCGGCTCCTTCCCCAGCGCCTCATTTCCGACTTTTTCACATGCTAAGTCGTTTAAACAACTCCGAGCAGCTAGTTGCGGGTTTATTTATAGGTTCTCTGTTATTTTACGTCCTTTTTATTTCTCTCTGCAACTATTCTGATAGATTAATCAATAGCCATTTTCTGACCTTCGGAAACCCCAACTGATGCTGCTGTGGCCGAGCCGGGGGGGGGGGGGATATATTATTACACACACATACATATAAACACGCCCACATCGAGCCAGGAAACCGAAGACAGGACCCTGTGGTTTGACTTTAGCGGGAGGAGGAGCGCCTCCCCTCAGCAGGTGTCTCCGCCGACTATGCACTGAGGCAGGAGGGGCTCTTCAGTCTAATTAGCAAGACAGAGCCGGGGCGCTGCCCTTAATCTTTAGAGCTAAAAAGAATTAAACACACACATACACACACACACACAGACACACACACACACAAAGGCCGAGACTACTAAGTTTTTCTTTAAGAAAAAAAAGGATGTGAATCTTGTCCTACATTCTATGCCTAGGGAGCTTTGGCAAAGGGCGGGTGGCAAGCGGGGGTGGGGGGGTGGAAGAGGGGGCGGGGAGGTCAGGGAAGCAGAGCCGCGGGTCCGGCGGGCGCTCCCCGGCCCACACCCTCCCTCGCTCACACGCACCCACCCTCACTCACACCCACAGGCTCCCTCGACCCCCTCTCCGGGATCCAGCCCAGGGTGGGGTCCCAGGGCGGTCCCAGGCGCCCTTGGGCCCCGCGGGATGCCGGAGCACGGTGCGGCGCGGAGTTGCGCGTCCCTTGTCCCTTTGTTGACAATTCTCTCGACCAACTTGAGTTTGGCCGGCTCCGCGGCGGCCCTGACGTCACGCACGGTCACGTGGCCCCGCCTCCCGTTGGATCTTTAAGTAGAAAGTAATCTATCAGGCCAGTCCTTAAAACGGGACTTTCGACTGCGGGGGCTTCGGCGTCCCTGACACCCCCCCCTCCCTCCCCCGGTTGCCCCTGCCCGCGCCCTCCCGAGCTGCTCGGCGCCCCGCGTCCCGCGCCCGCCTGCACCGCTCCTGCTCCCCACGCCCGGGCCGGAGGCAGAGGAAGGCAGGCGAAGTGAGGGGGTGCGGCGTGGAGAAGCTGTCGGGCCCGGGCCGGGTCCGGGGCCGCGGCCGGGATCAGCAGCGAGCGCCTAGTACCAAGCGCCAGGGACAGCTGGAGTTTCGGAGCGCTGCCACGGGGGGCGGACGGCACAGCCCGAGTCGTGCGATGCCCGGCCGCCGACTGTGAGCCAAGCCGGGAGGGCCCCGGACCACCTACGCCCCCCTCCCCTCTCCCAATCCCCTGTCTTTCGGGGGCGCCCCAAACTCCTTTCCTGAGGTTGGCGGCAGCCCCTGAAGACGCCCATCGCGCGCCGCTCCTTCCCCGCCGCCGCCACGAACCCCGAGGAGGGATGACCCTCTCCGGTGGCGGCAGCGCCAGCGACATGTCCGGCCAGACGGTGCTGACGGCCGAGGACGTGGACATCGATGTGGTGGGCGAGGGCGACGACACGCTGGAAGAGAAGGACAGCGATGGGGGCTGCGACAGTCCCGCGGGGCCGCCCGAGCTGCGCCTGGACGAGGCGGACGAGGTGACGCCGGTGGCACCCCACCACGGGCAGCCTCAGCCGCCGCACCAGCAGCCCCTGGCACTGCCCAAAGAGGTGGCTGGGGCCGGGGCCGGGCCAGGGGGCGAGGCGGGAGCATCCGAGGCCGACGGCTGCAAGAGCGGCGCTGGCGGCGAGGAGGGCGGCGGGAGCGGTGGCGGGCCCGGCTCCGGCAGCGGTGCGGCGGGCGGCCTGGCCCCGAGCAAGCCCAAGAACAGCCTGGTGAAGCCGCCCTATTCGTACATCGCGCTCATCACTATGGCTATCCTGCAGAGCCCGCAGAAGAAGCTGACTCTGAGCGGCATCTGCGAGTTCATCAGCAACCGCTTCCCCTACTATCGGGAGAAGTTCCCCGCCTGGCAGAACAGCATCCGCCACAACCTCTCGCTCAACGACTGCTTCGTCAAGATCCCCCGTGAACCGGGCAACCCGGGCAAGGGCAACTACTGGACCCTGGACCCTCAGTCCGAGGACATGTTCGACAACGGCAGCTTCCTGCGGCGCCGGAAACGCTTCAAGCGCCACCAGCAGGAGCACCTGCGTGAGCAGACGGCGCTCATGATGCAGAGCTTCGGCGCCTACAGCCTGGCGGCGGCGGCCGGCGCCGCGGGGCCCTACGGCCGCCCCTACGGCCTGCACCCTGCGGCCGCGGCCGGTGCTTACTCGCACCCGGCGGCCGCGGCAGCAGCGGCGGCGGCCGCGGCTCTCCAGTACCCGTACGCGCTGCCGCCCGTGGCCCCCGTGCTGCCGCCCGCCGTGCCGCTGCTGCCCTCGGGTGAGCTGGGTCGCAAAGCGGCCGCCTTCGGCTCTCAGCTCGGCCCGGGCCTGCAGTTGCAGCTCAATAGCTTGGGAGCCGCCGCGGCCGCCGCAGGCACGGCGGGCGCCGCGGGCACCACGGCGTCGCTCATTAAGTCCGAGCCGAGCGCACGACCGTCGTTCAGCATCGAGAACATCATCGGAGGGGGCCCCGCGGCGCCCGGGGGCTCGGCCGGGGGCGCTGGGGTAACTGGGGGCACCGCGGGTAGCGGAGGCGGTGGCGCCGCGCAGTCCTTCCTGCGGCCGCCCGGGACCGTGCAGTCGGCAGCGCTCATGGCCACGCACCAGCCTCTTTCACTGAGTCGGACGACGGCGACCATCGCGCCGATTCTGAGCGTGCCGCTTTCTGGACAGTTTCTGCAGCCTGCAGCCTCCGCTGCCGCTGCTGCCGCCGCCGCAGCTCAAGCCAAGTGGCCCGCTCAATAGGGACGCGCCGGTGGCCGGGATGCGGGGCCTGGCGGCGGCCTGGAATCTCGGCTGCAATTTGCAAGCTGCGCGCCCCGCCCCGCTCCTGGCCCCCCTGCCCAATCCTGGACTCTGCCTCTCTTCCATTTCCTCCCCCCCGACCCCCAACACCGACCTTCGGCGGCCTCCACCCAGTCCTGCACACCTAGGCTGGCGGAGCAAACTCTCACCGCGCGCCCGCGGGGAATATCTTTCCGTACAGGTAAAACCGAAAACCGATTTTTCCGAAACTGTACCCGGACGGCCCCTGCTCTCAGTACCTGGGGGATGAGAGGGAAATTCTTTGTACATATTTGTATAAAAATTATTGACTTTCCTTTTGGGGTTTTTATTTTTTTAAGAAAAAAATTCAGTAGATTTAGAGCTCTGAACTTTCATTTTTTCTGAAGGTTCACTCTCCGCAGTTTTATGTGAGAATGTATAGAGACGTTGGGAGATTTTAAATATAAAATTTTCAGAAGACGAAAGTCATTCTATATAAAAGTCTGTTTATATATAATGAATATATATGGTATTCTAAATGTTATTCCATCGTGTTGTACACAACTTTGTAAATAAAATTTTTAAAGGCTCAGCTTAATGTTTCATTTAGGTGTCTAAAGTAAATGACAAGATTTTTAAATAATATTTGCATTTTATTCTTCCCAGGTGAGTTTCAAGGAATGACCTTTTCAAACTTTGCTAATTCATAATTTGAGTGTAAGAAAATTTTAATTGGAAAAAGTATGCCTAATTTAAATTGTACTAATATTTTCTTTTAGTTTTCACATAACATGGGTGTGTGGGTGATTTTCTCCCTATCAATACATTACATCTAAATGACTAGATATTTCTTAAGATAAAGTAAGCTGCCATTTTAAAAACCAACCTAATTCTAAACTTTAGCACAATTTTAATTATTTTTACACATCAGACTTAATCTTTCACAATGGAAACTTTTCCAAATGAGAGTTCTTAATCATTTCAATTAACCTTTCAAAAGAATGTTAATTCCAAACATTTCCCTCATCTTAGCATTTAAAGCCTTGATTTTTTTTCAAACTATTTTCTTCCTCTAAGTGGAAGTGGTAATAAACCCAGTTAACTTTTTAAATATATGTAATGGCATTTTAAATTTTGTAGTGAAATAGTATTACCTGTATTAACCTCATAGATGATACATTATTGTTTGTTCTTTCATAATATTTTCAAATAAGATGCCTCTTTTCTATGGCAATAATCAATCCACAACATAATTTCGATATCTGAAGGGTTCCTTTCTTACCAACCCACTGCTTTTCCAAAGACCAAGAAATATCCTTTAACATCCTTTTAAAACAGATGCACATCACCCGTTTCTTAAACTTAAAAAAAAAAAAAATACCTTAGGCTAGTTTATATGAAATGAGAGATCACAAAGCAGGAATGGGGAAATGTCCTTGTGGATTATTTTTAATGTGCATTTCAGCTGTTGCAACCGTAAGTATTAACGTAGAAATGAAACATCTAGATGCGGAAAGTCAGTTCCCATCACCACCAACACATCCTCAAATGACATCAATTCTAATTATTTCGTAATTAATTTAGCTGTTGCAATTACGTATGCGAAATTGCTTTTTAAAACTGGAGCGGGTAGCAGTACTGTCAGCTCGGCCCTATGCGGGTGCTGTTTGCAAAACACCATCAGTCCCCGGCGCTGGTGTCCACCTCGCCTTCGTCGTCGCGGAGATGCCTCCCTGGTCGCGGAGATGCCTCCCTGGTCGCGGAGATAGCTCCCGGCTGCTGATCCGAGCCTTATTTCTCTGCTGTCGGCGTGGGCTAGGGCGTCACTTTAAAAGACACTTCCTCGCAAATACCGAATCGGTCTTCCTGATAAACAGTAAACATTATTGTGTCCTGAGTAAACATTCCTTCTGGATCAGAGTCCTAAAATAAAACAAGCTGCCGGGGGCGAGATCGTTTAACTTGATAAACAAGAACTTGATAATCAACCGCCACGGAGAGGAGCTACGGTAACCTTCACGAAGAAGAGATTATGGACCACACAGTCTACGGGCGGGTCTCTTCTAATCTCTTTTTACAAGGAAAACTAAACGGATCTAAATTTGTTTGTGTGTTGCAGCTATAAAAGTAACAAGTTGTTTCACAGTTGTGTCTGGCTAATCGGTTTTTACACAAACAGCAAATGGTACATGATTTGTGCAAACACATAGAGGTTATTTCTAAATTTAGCTTACACCCCTGGGAAAAGGGAAAGGCCGGGCTTCTTGAATTCACTTTTAGCCTCAAGAAGCTGCTGATCCAAGGCTTCTAAATGACATTGGATAACAGGGGCCTCATTCCATCCCTGATCCTTTGTTACTTATAAAATTACTCGCTCATATTTCCGCGCATAGCAGCAATACCGGCCGAGCCTGCGCCCGCGGCGTGACACTCGGCCACAAGCCGCCGCTTGAGATCCGCGGAGCATTTTTTCCCCCTGATATATTCGGCGATGGAGTGTAGAGGAGAGATCCGCCGGCAACTTTCTTTCCAGACACTTACCAACCTTGAACTAGAGCCTAAAGATGACCCTTTCTTTATTTCTGGGCGGGTAGGAGACCCAGACCTTAAACCGACCAGCGACTCTTTGAAAGTCCAGGCAGATGTCAGAGATATAGGCCTGGCCATTACCCCCTGAAAAGCTTTTTGGTTTAGGCTTGTTAGACCACGAAGGCTTAGAGCAGCAGAAGAAAATGCAAATATCATATATAATGAACGCAAGCACTTTGGCTTCAAGGGAGGGCCTGAAACCCACATTTTACATGTGCGAAAGCGACCACCGGCGTCGAAAGGCACTGAAAATCCCCTCTTATACTGAGATTTAAAGGCAACACGACTGATATCACCTTTTTATTTCACTTAGGCAGATTTATTTGTAATAAAAAGAGGAAGTGGGGTTTTTTTGGAGGGGGGTGATTTTAGCTTTCGACTACATACCAATTTAAACTGGTTTCCACTTCCTCTGGCACTCATTTCTAAAAAGTCCATCCAGTTCCGAGGGCTGTGTCCCTTAGAACATCCCTTGGATGGAGTCCCTGAGGGGGTCCCGGTACTGAGTCACTGCTCCGGGAATGGAGGGTGAATTCGGAGGTCCAGGGAAAAGCGAACCAAGGCTACAATATATGCACGCTCTTTTCAGGGCTCTTAATGCCATGGCGGACGTGGCCTGTAGGGGGCGACGAGCAGATGCGAAACTTCGCAGTTTTGTCTCCGAGGGTCCAGACCCAACCCTGAGAGACCTTCCCTCCCAGGCTCTGAGCACCCTGACGCTGTTACCCTGCTCATCCTCCCAGCCTGGGACACCCAGGTCGAATCTCAGAGAAGCTGTTTTTCTCGATCACTCTCTTGGAATGGGCAGAGTCCCGAGGGGAATTTGCCCTAAAGATTGGGAAGCAATAAAGTTTAGTGATGAGGAAACATAGACTGGGAAGCAATTAAGAGTTATATTTGAGGTTATTTATTTTATACGGTTTATAGAAAGAGTCTTGGCAGTGAGAGGACCATGGAAGGCTGATGTGTGTGTGTGTGCGCGCGCATGCATGTTTTAACGCAGATTCCTTGAAGAACTGTTCTGAAGAGACTATGATCTGAAAGAAAGCCAGTTCCAGAGCCATGTCTATCAGACTCCACTCGTGTCCGTGATGGTGGCAAGTTGCAGCATCATTAGCGAATAAACTCCTCTCTGAGAGGTGGATGGGAGGTTGGAAGGTCTCAGAGTGCCCAGGTGGAGTGTGTGTGTGTGTGTGTCTATTTCATGGGAGGGAATGATAGGAAGCAGTGGAAAGAGAGAGGTCTTCCAGAGGGAAGAGGACATCCCAATCAGGACATATGTATTTACTGACTGTGACTGTGGACAAACTGCTTGGTTTCTTTGAGTCTGTCCATTCCCTTGTCTCTACTTGTAGCTTGGGCTTGCAGGATTAGGTGAGTTGGTGTCAGGGGGGGGGGGGGAGTGTTTTGTAAATTGTAAAGACCTAAGGGCATCAAGGTGTTTGTTAGTGGTTTCTAGAAAGACAAACGGGCTTCCCTGGTGGCTCGGTAAAGTCAATAAAGAATCCGCCTGCAATACAGGAGACCTGGGTTCCATCCCTGGGTCGGGAAGATCCCCTGGGGAAGGAAATGGCTACCCACTCCAGTATTATTACCTGGGAAATCCCATGAGCATAGGAAGGGTTCCGACACCACTTAGCAACTAAACCACCAACCAACAGAAAGGCGAACAACTCTGTTACAAACACCTGCAGTCTTTGGCTGGGTTTTGAACCACTAGATTTTAGGTGTAAAAGACGAACTTTTCTATTTCAGCCCCCCCACCCCCACCTCCCGGCTGTCTGAAAGGATGGAGCGAAAGAGAGGCTAGTCAGAATGGGCTTTTCAAAGGAGGGGGTCTCCTCCTGGTCTAGAGTCCTTCGACCCCGCCCTGGGCTTGAGGAGAAGGCCGGGATGCCCACCTGCTCTCAGTCTGCAGCCCCAGCTCTAGAGGCCTGGCCTATTTCTTTCCGTTGAGTCGTCTACTTTGCTCCTTGCCCCTTCGCTTCCACTGTCCGAGGCAAGTGGGGAAACCTGAGCCCTCCGCTGACAGACGCCCATTAACGCAAAGCGCAGCTTCAGGACGAATTAAAGGTAACCAGATCTCAGACCCACGTGAAAGACCACCCTCCCTTTGCCTGCCTCCGACAGTTGGCAGAGATACACCCAGAGCCAACTTCTCTCTCTTAATCATCACCACCCCCTCCCCTTGCCCTCTTAGGAATGTACTAGCCATTCTTTGCTCCCCGCGGGCAACACCAGCCAAAAAGGGCGGGTACGCAGAACAAAATTTGTAAAGAAATGTTGCAAAATCAGCGGAGGAGTCGTAGAAAGCATTATCTTCTTTCTATTTCTCGAGAGGGTGTCTTATATCCGAATTTTTCAAAATAAGAAGGAAATTAGTCACCTCCCTTCCTCCTTCTTCAGATGATTTTGTGCTTAAAGCACACAGCTCGGTCCTGTCAGTCGGATGGGAAGGGAGACACCTTCATTCTCTTGTCTGGGTCCTCTGGGTCTAAATTTCAGAGGCATCTGCAGAAAAACAGCCCTAGAGAGCACCCCTTCTTCTTTCCACACAGGCCCTGAAAGTTCTGTGACTTCCCCAAGGTCACTTGCCAGCCCAAGGATAAGCCTTAGAAATGCTCAGCGGAGGAAAAATTGTTCTCTATTCTGGAAAGACACCCAACTTGAGGAAAGGAAAAAAAGCGAACAGTGGCACAAAGAAGACTGGAAAGACTGGGGGTGCGGGGAGGGGGCAGAGAGAAAGAAAAAAAGACAAACGCAGAGAAACACTGGGCCGAGCTGAACTCAGCTCTGCGAAGGCCAAGACCTAGACCCCGTGCGGCCCCGCGCGGCCCCAGAGGCCCGCTCCGCCCAGACCCATCCGCGCCGCGCCGCGCCTCTCGCCCAGAGCCAGGCGGTTCTTCGGCGACCTACGCCTCGATCTCCTGGCCTCGTGATTTAACAAGGGAAGGACGAAGGAGGAAACTCCAGGCCTGAAGCTCAGAGGTCAGAGGTCCAGCC